CCAGATTCAATCATAGACTCGTTTTTACGGACTAGAGCACATACGCACATGCGCACTTTTCAGAAACGGTGCTTTAAATCTTTCGACATACTAAAAGATAGAGATGCGCGGTTGGCGGTTATAGCCGCGGACTTCGCGGATAAACTGCGGATCGGGCGGATGACGTGAGGAAAAAAAATATTTTAATTAAATTCGGGCGGGTGGCGGGCGGTTTCTAGTCTCGCGGCTGTCATCAGCAGCGCCTTGTATCAGCGGCTGGCGGGTGGGTGCGGTTTTGAAAATTGGTCAAAAACGTTGGTGCGGATGGATGGCGGACGGACGATGAGTTTTGTGATGCGGTTGCGGATGAAATAATAGCCCATCCGCGCATCTCTACTAAAAGACGTAAAAGACATTTGTATGTTCGAAGTGAAAGATATAGATTGTACTGAAAGTCAGCTTAAGTCAGATAAGTATTTATTAAGTCCACGTCATGCAAACTAGAAACTATATATGCTTCTAACCACAGGTCAAGAGCTATTGTTCCAACCACACAACTTTGCGATATTGTTTGCGAATGTTCGTTGAAACTATGGTTTCGGGAAACACAGACTCGTTGACCTACCCCAAAAAATAACTTGCGACCATAGTTGGCTAACAATGCTCTCGGGAAACTCACCCCAGTGCGAGAGAGCCACTCTGCGCTGCACAAACGTTGTCGTGTGTGGTTTTGCTTCGGTAACTTACGAGTTAATATGAGCTTTGAGTCATCTGAAGGTTTTAGATACAGTCACTGTTCTCCACCAGAGCTGTTCCCCTCAGTTTTGTGTTCTAAGTGCGACTCATATGCTTTGCTCTCCACCCAAATATAAAAGCTGCTATCGGTTAATGGACATTTACTGGATGAACTCGCGGCTTGATTGGACTCTTGTCGTATCAAGAGTGATAAGACTTTTCAGTCTTATGGACGTCGCCATCTTTGATATTTGGGCGTTACTTTTTCTCTCCTGGCGGAGGCTCGCTCTCTTAAAGGGCTTGCAGATGTTGTTGTTTTTCTTTAATGAGAAGTTCTTTTTTGCAAGTGTTTAATGCAGTAATGCCTAAACATAGCCTATATAACATACACCTTCATTTTCTTTTAAAACACATTTAGAATATTATTATATTCAATTTCTGACCACTTATTATTACTCAATATTTCTTGACCCCTAGAACTATGACAAACAAAAGACCTCTTAAAGTCCCCCTGTGGTGAAAATCAAGCTTTTAATGTTGTGTTTTTAATATGCTTAAAGACAAACCATGTGCAAATTTATAAGTCAACACCATTGCAGAGTATTTTCTCCTTAAAACTGCAGTGAACCAAAGACAGTCTCAAAAATGTTTCTGACGTCACAAACTACCTTGTAACCAATCACACCAACGTGTGATCGTCAACGAGTGGATCTCTGAGCTGGTGCGAGTGAGTGGAGGCGGGGCTAATTTTATATTCATAGGACCACATATACTAAATAAGGCAAGGGTGTAGAGTTGCATTCAAGCTATTTTAAGGCATAAGGGATTTTTTTCAAGGAAAAGACTTTTAAATATGTCCCTTTGGTGATCAAAGATGAGTTTTTTGAGTTTTGACTACATGGAGACTTTAACATTACGGGTTATATTACATACTGTACAACTCTTTTTATTGAAAGTTGAAAGTCGTGTGTTTTGTTACTTCTGTATTTTTTTGTCTGTTGCCAAGTGCGCACGCACGAGTGACTACATTATGGAGAAAAGAGAGATTTTAAATCAGCAGCGTAAAAAATGTTAAGCATATTAATTAAACTGAAAAGTAAAGTGCATTACTTTACTTGTTACGTCAAAAAAAGTAATCTGATTACATAAAATGAAGTTACTTGTAATGTGTTAACCCCAACACTGTAATATATACACTACCGGTCAAAAGATTATAAGAAATGATAATTTTTACCATTATAATTTTTCAATTTTTTCTCATGTTCACCAAGCATGCATTTATACGATCAAAAACAGAGTAAAAATACAGTAAAATCACATGATCTTTCAGAAATGTATAATATAAAATGTATAATGCAGGAACAGAAATTCTTGTCTAGATTCTTATGTGATATTTTTTGCATTTTAAAGACCGCCCCAACATTCCCACTTTGATAGGCGGGCATGAACTACCTACTTTTTAAACCCAGTGACACAGTTTGTGCTACCACAGTGATATCACATGCCTATGCCTTGAAGTAAAACGATCTTTGTTGTAATAGGTTCTTTGTTTCCCGTTTCACAGCATTCGACTGGGTTGAACGTTACGCACCTGGATTTAAAAAGTCAATAGTGGGCAAAGACATCCTGACCCCTGCTGATCTTGAGAGGGTCTTTGGTCTCACTGGAGGGGTATGAACATATTTAATTAATTTAATAGACATTGACATGGACATTTTATGAATGTATTGTTTTGTTAGTAATTTTCACAATCATACAGAATCTAATATATAATAGCCTATTGTCTCTAAATCTCAGTTAATTGTTGTAAATGTGCTTGTCATAGCATTAATTACATGTGTTTTTTATGCAACAGAATATATTTCATGGCTCAATGTCTTTGGATCAGCTTTACCTGGCCAGACCTTTGCCCTCTGTCGCAGATTACCGCTCACCCGTCAAAGGATTGTACTTATGTGGCAGTGGCAGCCATCCAGGTATGTGCCTGAATAAATAAAAGCTTAAACAGTACGTATTGGGTTTAGAAATGTCATCAGTGTGATATCACGTATCATAAAACCAGGTCAGGTAAATGTGAAGCTTGACGTGCATGACCTCCCCTGTGTTCTCCAGCATTTATCTGAGCTTGTCTCTTTCAGGTGGAGGTGTTATGGGTGCAGCCGGCTGGAATTCAGCTCGCAATGTTCTGGCAGATTTCAAGCTACTGTGATCTCGGCCTTCGATGGATGGGGAATATCACTTTCCAATGGGATGTTTCAATGAAAAGAGAGATGAAGACAAATAGTAAAGGGATAGTTTACCCCAAAATTTAAAGTCTGTCATCATTTACTCACCCTCATGTTGTTCCAAACCTGTATGAATTTAAAGAAGATGTTTTAGAGAATGTTGGTAACCAGACAGTTTAACGCCAGCCATTGACTTCCATAGTATTTTTTTCCCTACTGAAGTCAATGGGTGCCGTCAACTCTCTGGTTACAAACATTCTTCAAAATATCTTATTTTTACTGCAACAGAAGAAGGAAACTCATACAGGTTTGGATTAACTTGAGGGTGAGTAAATGATGACAGAATTTTCATTTTTGGGTGAACTAACCCTTTAAGTGTTGTTGACATTGTGTGATTTTCTGTCTTGCACAGTTTTTAAAATACACTCCCAAAATGTTACCCTATTTTTTTGTGTGAAATTTGAGATCATGTAGTCAATTATAATACATATAACTGAATCCATTGGCTATGTGTTTTGTATAACCTGAGATAGAAGATGTGAGTAGGTTCACATTGAATGTTCTGACAAAAAGCTATGACATTGTTTTTATAATAACTTAAATTATATCATTTTTATAATTGATAATAAACTTATTTGGTAAAGTAAAAGGTATTTGAAGCTTTATTGTTTACCTCTAAATTCTTAATTTTTGCAATTCTGCTCTGTGAAGCCAGTGATGCAGGACTGCAGACTTCATCTCAAATAAATTAATTACATAAAATAATCCAAAATTATTTCTTTAATGCATGTCATTTCTCAATGTACATCACAGCACAAAGGCAAGACTCTAGGAAAACAAATATTCATTTAATGCTATGTTCGTTATATTGTTCTCTAACATGAGTACAACTCTTCCTTTTTCTACAGTTTATACAGTATTATGTAAACTACAAACAGTATGCAAATGTCCTGTATGCTTGAAAATCCAAACAGTACACATGCCAAATGTGCAGTAAACAACAGAGCACAAAGCACAAAAGTAATTTCAAGTTTGATGAAAAGTTCAGCCATGATTTTTAACATCTCTTGATTAACTTGTTTGATTGATTTGCCAAAATCTACAACATAGTGAATTTAAAAATGTTTTATTTTTATTTAATTTTTTTAAATGGTAACTGGATTAAAGTCAGCATGAAACGCATGATACAATGTTGTCTTCTTTCCTATTGTGACGTATATCCAAGTGAAACTGCTTCTTGAACCAGAAAAAAAAGTAGGCCGGGACTTGATTTTGTCCATTGGGAATTGATTGTATGATTGTGGATTGTTATTGGTCTATCTCATGTGAGTAACAGGTTGTCCCGCCCTCACGCCAGTAAACACATCATCACAGAAGAGATGTTGCTGAAAGAGGGAGGGGAAGTTACTTAAAGAATTACCAGGGCACATGAATTAAAAAAAAAGTGCACGGTTAAATCATATTATAAAAATGGCAATATTCCATAAAAATAAGAATTTTGATTTCGTAATGACTTTAAGATGCAACTTAACCTATGGTGGAAATATCCAGACAGGATTCTGAAATTGAGGAGCAGTTTTATGCCTTTTTACTCTTTATCGTTTTTGTTACTGCCACATTCTGTATGTATTCATCAAACTCTGCAACACTTTACTAACACTTTTACTGCCGCTTCGGACACTGAGACTTCTACCTCAGTAGCCTATTCGTACTCGAGACTAGTTTACTATTCTTAATACTTTTTATTTTATTTTATTTTATTTTATTACTCTTTATCGTATTTGTTACTGCCACTTATTTATCGTCCTGTCTACGAAATAGCACGTCACTTTAATATCCCAGTGCCCGCCACTTTGTTTATATTTGTGGTTAGGCTATGCTTACTAAATTTGTGTATGGTCCTGTTAATCTCACTGTAAGTCTGAGCATCGCCATCGTCACAAGCATTTCAGTGCCTAGTGTCCCCAGGGTAATTGTGCAAATGACAAATAAAAATGCTCTTGACTTGACTTGTGAAGTGTGGCTCCAGGACACATGGCCCCTGCGGCCCTTTAAGACGCTTGTTCTGGGAGGCGCTTGAGTGCAGTTCAACACACCCGCCTGACGCTCCGCTCGACGCCCAGGAAGAGAAACAGCTGCACATATATCGCCACAAGTTTAAAGATGTCGACTCATTTGGTGTTTTAACATGTATTCGGTCGTGTATATGTTCCTGTGGTGTTATTGAGGGTAATAATGCTGGATGGTTGGACTAATGAAGTTCAGTTTGGATTTCGGCCGGTTACTGGGGCTCAGCGGTGAGTTTCACGACTGCATGGAAACTTTGTTTCTGTCTGTCCGAGTTATAAAGTTAGTTTTCCATGAATCGGAGCGTAAAACGAAGCTAGGCACAATCAGTTTATCTCGCCGTAACGCGCGTTAGTGACAGCGATATCTAATGTGAGTCAGATTTATATAGATATAAAGGCGTATTAATCAAATCATGATGCCACTTATGCGATTGTTGTTTGATATTTTGTAACTGCGGTTGTCACCCGGCTATCTTTTTATTTGTCGAGGGTAATTATGTCTAAAGCTTAAAAATGTGTCAAATCCATAATGCTTAATATTAATAGGCCTATTACAAAGACTAGCCAACGAACTCAAGTTAAACGTTGTTAGCCTAATCTCTCACATAATCTGTAATTTAGTTACAGTTTGAATTAAATAAATTAAATGCAGCCTATTTACCACAGGCTTTTGGCTTTTTATTTGAAACTAGTTCAAATGCTAGAAATCACATGCAACAGGTCTGTGAATCACAGACACACTAAATCTGATTTCAACTGCTGATGATTTCCTGTTTGAGTGTGTTTTTATTAAGAATAAACATTTTCAGACAAACCAATTCAGATGCATCATAATTTAGTTATAATTTGTAATGGTTTTAGCATTCTTGTAAATTTTAAGCACGAGTTAAAGGCTGCCTCAAGTCTAGTGGCAAAAATTGCCTTTTCATACAATAATACACATAAAGGTTCTTCAATGTTTCTTTAGGATAATCAACAATCCTTCTTATCAAAGACCATTTGTGGTTCTTGAGTTACCCATATGATTCTTTGGAGATTTAAATACAAGTTCTTGATCTATGTTGGAAAATCCTAGCTGGTAGCTGCATTCGGAACATAGGGATGCACGATATAGGATTTTGGCCGATATTCGATATGCCGATATTTTCAAACAAATTTTGCCCGATGCCGATACCGATATCGATATATTTGTATTTTTTTTAAGTGCAAAAAAAGCTTATTAAAGCTTCTATTAATGTTCTCAGTCAAGAGCAGTGAGTGATTTCCTCTGTGTTTTGTTGTTTTATTAACATTAACGGGATAGTTCACCCAAAAATTTAAATTGTCATCATTTACTCTCTCAAGTTTCTTTCTTCTGTTGAAATTATAAAAGTTATTTGGAAGAATGTGGCTAACCAAACAGTTGCTGTACTCCAGTGACTTCCATAGTATATTTAAGCACAAGAAAGAAATGAATCCAGGTTTGAAACAACATTAGATAGACAGAATTTTTATTTCTGGGTGCAGTATCTCTTTAAAGACAAGCGGCAGAATATTATTACTGTCTCTTTAAGAACTGCACGCGAGTAACGCGACGCGTCTAATACACGCATTTGACAAGCAGATTTTCTCTGTTTGCTTTCACTTTAGACATAACCAACTTTGTTTATGTAAACCTTGTGTTTATTTGACAGTATCAGCGCAATAAGTCTCGAAAGATTAGTCCAGTATGCAGACTCTGTGACAGGCTTTTAGTTCCTGTGAGCGTCGCGTGTACGCGCTCAGAAAAGCGGATGTTAGAACAGCGCATCAGCACGTGAATGACATGTTTACCTAGCAAGACTTTGACGCACATGCAAACAATGAACTTTTGTGAATTGCAGTGTCCCGTGAGTGTAACCCTACCTCTGCGTTTACATGTGATGTGAATGTACGTCGCGTTGTACAGTATGTTGAGATGAAGGCGCCAGAATTGAACTGATAGAATGCACAATACTATGATTTTTCTTCAAAAGCAGATCGTGGAGACATTTTAATCGTCCACGATCAAAAACCGTGAGACGCGCACCCCTAGTTGGAAGTTTAAGTTGCTGGCGCTCATGCTTCGTTCACGGTCGTCACGTGCGCATAGGAAACACGCCACCCTATCGGCAAGGCTCATCGGCAGAAATATTCATATCGGCCGATGCCGATGATGGTCATTTTAAGCTTTTATCGGCCGATACCGATGTTGTCCCGATATCATCGTGCATCCCATCACTGGTTCCTAGTTTTTGGAATGTGGTAGCTGGTTGACCCGTAGTATATATATATATATATATATATATATATATATATATATATATATATATATATATATATATGAGGCACTAGATGCCTCATTAGCGGCTGTTGGCCGATATACGTAAGCCGTTCTCCATATTGGAACGCTTCAAAGCCGGTTTGTGTGAACATTTGAGAGCAAGTTGACTGCAACCATAGTTAGACACATCTATGAATATCTAAATCTGTAATAGACTTCACCACATGAATTTCACATCCAATTTCAAATCTCAGTGGTTTTTACAACCAGAGGGTGAGACATTTCGTGGCAACTGTGAGTGATGACAGCATCTGAAAAGATGGCTGACACGTCGATGACGTGTCTGGAGCGGTGGCATCTACATAGGAAGGCCAGCCAATGATCAGATAGAAACCTTTTAATGTTCCAAAACACAGCTACCAGTTTAAAGGGTTAGTTCACCTAAAAATGAAAATTCTGCATTAATTACTCGCCCTCATGTCGTTCCAAACCCGTAAGACTTTCGTTCGTCTTCGGAACACAAATGAAGATCGTTTTGATGAAATCTGAGAGCTTTCTGTCCCTCCATTGACAGCCACGCAACTGAAACTTTGATGCTTCAAAAAGTTCATAAAGAGATTATAAAACTAATCCATATGAATTGAGCAGTTTAGTCCAAATTTTCTCAAGAGACTCGATCACTTTATGTGATAAACAGATTTAATTTAGGCTTTTGTTCACATATAAACATTCATCAGTTGTGGTGAATGGAAGCTCAAGCATGTTCGCTTGACATGCGAGAACCAATGAGGTTCATTCTTGTTACGCATCACGTTTGAGCTTCTTCAAGAACCAATGAGGTTCATTCTTGTTACGCATCACATTTGAGCTTCTTCAAGAACCAATGAGGTTCATTCTTGTTACGCATCACGTTTGAGCTTCTTCAAGAACCAATGAGGTTCATTCTTGTTACGCATCACGTTTGAGCTTCAAGAACCAATGAGGTTCATTCTTGTTACGGATCACGTTTGAGCTTCAAGAACCAATGAGGTTCATTCTTGTTACGCATCACGTTTGAGCTTCTTCAAGAACCAATGAGGTTCATTCTTGTTACGCATCACGTTTGAGCTTCTTCAAGAACCAATGAGGTTCATTCTTGTGTTACGCATCACGTTTGTGCTTCCGCAAGAGGTTTGTTCTGGTGCGTCAATCGAGTTCGGTTGAGCTACTGTTTATGTTCGGTGATCAATGTTTATATGTGAATAAAAGCCTAAATTCAATATGTTCATCATATAAAACAATCAAGTCTCTTCAGAAAATGTTGACTAAATCGCTCAATTCATATGGATTAGTTTTGTGATCTCTTTATGAAGCATCAAGTGTCAGTTGCGTAGCTGTCAATGGAGGGACAGAAATCACTCAGATTTCATCAAAAAGATCTTCATTTGTGTTCCGAAGACGAATGAATACATGGATGGTTTTATAAAAAGTTAGAGAATGAAAATTCTTTAGGGAACTTGAAAAGGTTCCCCAATGACATCAGGCTGTAAAGCCCCTTTAGCTTTTAATTGGAACCTTTGTTTTTCATTGAGGTTTGTGTGTGCGGATTCTCATTACATGAAGTACTGCTAGTTTGTGTTGTCTAATACTGGGCTCTACTCAAAGTTGGTGGTATAAATGTAAATATGCTTAAGAGCATGATCCATCATTAAATGCTAATTTGCTATATTTGCCTGTCTGTTGCATTCACAGTAAAATGATCGGAGATGTGGAAGTTTGACAGGGTATCTACCAAGTAGCTTAAATAAGCATCTTTGTTAACATCGTGTGACACATCCTTACAGTCCTTTTCTGCATGCAAGTTTTTACCTACCGGTATTTGTAGTATGAATCAAGATTGTCCACTGCTGTTTTAATCAAATGGATTCAGCATTCTGACTGGTGGCAGTGAAAACCGTATCAGTGGGGATCTTTTGCATGGAACAGTTTGCATGATCCAAGGAAGACGTGACTAGCCAGGGGCCACCTGCGGTTTCTGTATCTTACCAAGGTAAATCAGTTTTTTCGACCACTGTTGTCATGAGGCCATCGAAGTGTGAGATGAGTCACTAAAGGGGAAGTCTGCTGGTCGATGCATCACTTCTCTGCAACCGCAGGACTCGTCTCAGATCACGGCCTGCTTCATTTGCATTGACCTGACATTTGTGGTGCTACTTTGGCTGTGATTTATAACTGAAATCAAACTGCATCTCTTTGCTGTATAAGAAAACTTATGTGGGATATTAAGAGTGTTGCAATGGCTAATAGGAGTGGTTGAAGACACGGAAACTGCGTTTTTTTTTTGCGCCTAATGGAACTTCATTTCTCTGTACCAAAGGAATCAGTTAACAAGCTTGTAAAGTTCTGTGTTTAAAAAAGTGTTTATGTAGGTTTTCGGACATTGTGTAGATGGTTGCGTATTATGATCATCACAACCCTGGGCTGAATCAAGGATAAAACCATCACTGAGCTATCATGAATCCCATAAAAGAAAACAAAACCTGAAAAATTAGTCTGAAAACCATTTGCTTAGATTAGCTAATGGAAGAATCCAAAAATCTGTCGTTGGACGGTCTTCAGAGCAAGTATTGTTTTACTAGGCCGTTGTTTAAATGGCTTTCTTGTGGAATGTTTTGAGCTGTGTAGTATCTGAGGCCGTGTAGCTTGGAGAAATGTCTGCAAGGTCTAATTTTACCATTGCAGCAAGGAAACTTTAAGATAGCTGACAAATGAATTGCAATCCTGCAGGGCTTTAGGTCCCATGTTTGTTAAGGGAGTGTGTTTTTCTTTTCTTTTTGCTGATAACTCTTTTTCCCACGGGTTTAGGTGGCTTTTCTGTGGCAGACATGATGTGAAATTAAAATCTTTGCGCAGCTTGACCCTGCAAATGCTAATTAAACAAAACCATCTGCAGTCAAGGTTAAAAATATATATGACATGGGCCTTAGTGGCTAATGCAATTAGAGAAGTGAAAACCAAGACTTAATTGTGAGGAAAGTTTTTATGGGTTTGACTGAAATGTCATTGCATAGTCACAAATGAATGGGATTTTCTTATTGTGAGTGTGTAGTGAGCATTTGGAGTGAATAAAGAACTAGGAAATGGTAAATGTTGGGATTTGACAACATGATACAAAACAAGTGGCTTGTGTTGATTCTCTTTTCTGCATTTTTGAATGTTTTAATTCTCAAAAAGTGTGATGTTGGCTAAGGCTATAGTGATTCTCTTTCCTTGAATTGGGACTTTGGACTAATGGATTGTTTTCTCTGGATCTTTCCACAGGCTCCAGTGATGAAAGGCCAGAGGAGATGGACACTGGTGCTCTCCCCGGGCCGAATGACCACATGATCTCACAGGTACGAGAACACTGGGCTTTTTTAAATTAAATCAGAAATAAGAGGTCAAAAGACCTGCATGTTCTCCTGTTGTTTTTGAATGAACTGCTTTCATATGTTTTCTGGCCATTAGTTTTAAGTCTGAAATTTAACTAACTTAATTCAGGTCTTTTACTAACTGGCTATCTTTTTAACTATTCCTGATCGATTCCCGCATAGCGACATGTATAGTGGCCTTAAAAGTGTATATGTAAAGTTGAAGTATGTGTGTGTGTTTTTATATATATATATATATATATATATATATATATATATATATATATATATATATATATATATATATATATATATATATATATATATATTATACACTCACCTAAAGGATTATTAGGAACACCATACTAATACTGTGTTTGACCCCCTTTCGACTTCAGAACTGCCTTAATTCTACATGGCATTGATTCAACAAGGTGCTGAAAGCATTCTTTAGAAATGTTGGCCCATATTGATAGGATAGCATCTTGCAGTTGATGGAGATTTGTGGGATGCACATCTAGGGCACGAAGCTCCCGTTCCACCACATCCCAAAGATGCTCTATTGGGTTGAGATCTGGTGACTGTGGGGGCCATTTTAGTACAGTGAACTCATTGTCATGTTCAAGAAACCAATTTGAAATGATTCGAGCTTTGTGGCATGGTGCCAGTGTTGTGCCTGAATGCGTTCAATGAACGATAGTTCATGAACTCGTTCATATTTTGGGCGAACGTGAACTGAACGTACTGAATTACTGCCTGATGAACGTTACTGTGAACTCGTTCATTCTGGAGTCTGTGAACGCACGCTCTCTCAGTTTAACTTCGTTCAATAGGGTGCCAGATTTCAGTGTTTCCTCTAGGATTTTTTCCAACTGTGGTGGCAGGCCCATTTCCCCAGGGGGAGGGGGCGTGGCCCATGAGTGATATTCCCATTGGCCACGCCCCCTTGCCCCAAGGTTTTTAAACCTCCCCTAAGTATTATAACATGAAAGGCTCCAATAAGTGCAGCAAAGCGATTATGCGCATCCTATGCGCAGAATGATGCACTTGAAGCAACGCGAAGTCACAGCGCGCAGCGCTTCGCATTGAAAAGTTCAAAGCACAAAGCGAAGAGAAGAGATTATATCTATCTATGCCTAGTGTATTCTATCTATGCAACAGTTTATTGAGCCTTTTTTTTAACAGTTTTAAATTTCAGTTACAGTGCGCATGAAGACCAAATCATAGCACTCTCTACTCCAGTGCTGTAATCTAACAGACACCCGGGAGAAGGGAATATGATTTAGAAAGCGCAATAAACTCCAGCAAGATAAAGTCATTTTATGGAAACTATAGACCTTTATCTACAAAAAAAAAGGTGTAATAATGGGAACATTGATCTTGAAGAGAGTGTCATCGTGTAACTGTCGTTACCGAACGCGACGCGCTGTTTGAATGCTGAATGGAGAATGACTGAGGAGAGATGAGTTTCCATTAACTTTAACTTAACGACTTAAATATTATTTTTTACCGCACTTTATGCTATTGAAAGACTTTGGAAGTCTTGGAATATAGTGCGACAACTTTATTGTGCTTTACAATGTTGTTTATGCCTTTAGTGGGGCTTAACAAATATCGGACCTCACTGAGAAACTGCAGCCGTGGCGGGATGGTTTTAGGTGTGGCGGCCCGCCACGGCGGAATGAATGTAGCGGAAACACTGGATTTCTATAGAGCCTTCCAGGCGAAAACCCGGCTAAAACACGTAAACAGGCCTTAATATGTAGCGAAAAAACACCCAATCTGGCAACACCAGTCACCAGTGTTGCACCGCCGCACGCGTCATCAAAACTAAAAGCAGCATGTAGTCGACAAAGCAGCGAGCGAGGAGGCATCGTATGATCATTTAAACGAGTTTTATGACAAGGTCGGTGAGGATGGGAAAAATCTTACATTTCTGTGCAAACTTTGCCCGTCGATAAAATAATTGTCTGTGGTTGTATATGGGCTGTGGCAATAATAAAATAATAAAAAAGCAGCAACATATGGAAAAAAAAGAACTATGAACTAGTTAATTTTTTTGAAGTATGAACTATGACCTGAACTAGTTCATTTTAAAATTTGTGAACTGAACTTTGAACTAGTTCATGTAGAAAATGAACTTTCCCAACACTGCATGGTGCATTATCCTGCTGGAAGTAGCCATCAGAGGATGGGTACATGGTGGCCATAAAGGGATGGACATGGTCAGAAACAATGCTCTGGTAGGCCATGGCATTTAAACGATGCCCACTTGGCACTAAGGGGCCTAAAGTGTGCCAAGAAAACATCCCCCACACCATTACACCACCACCACCAGCCTGCACAGTGGTAACAAGGCATGATGGATCCATGTTCTCATTCTGTTTACGCCAAATTCTGACTCTACCATCTGAATGTCTCAACAGAAATCGAGACTCATCAGACCAGGCAACATTTTTCCAGTCTTCAACTGTCCAATTTTGGTGAGGTCTTGCAAATTGTAGCCTCTTTTTCCTATTTGTAGTGGAGATGAGTGGTCCCCGGTGGGGTCTTCTGCTGTTGTAGCCCATCAGCCTCAAGGTTGTGCGTGTTGTGGCTTCACAAATGCTTTGCTGCATACCTCGGTTGTAACGAGTGGTTATTTCAGTCAAAGTTGCTCTTCTATCAGCTTGAATCAGTCGGCCCATTCTCCTCTGACCTCTAGCATCAACTAGGCATTTTCGCCCACAGGACTGCCGCATACTGGATGTTTTTCCCTTTTCACACCATTCTTTGTAAACCCTAGAAATGGTTGTGCGTGAAAATCCCAGTAACTGAGCAGATTGTAAAACACTCAGACCGGCCCGTCTGGCACCAACAACCATGCCACGCTCAAATTGCTTAAATCACCTTTCTTTCCCATTCTGACATTCAGTTTGGAGTTCGGGAGATTGTCTTGACCAGGACCACACCCCTAAATGCGTTGAAGCAACTGCCATGTGATTGGTTGATTAGATAATTGCATTAATGAGAAATTGAACAGGTGTTCCTAATAATAATGTGGAAAACATTCCACAAAATGTTTTCATGGTTTCTACAAAAACATTAAGCAGCACTACTGTTATCAACATTGATAATAGGGATGGGACGATTACCGGTTTCACTATAAACCACGATAAAATGTGCTGACGGTTAGTAATATCGTTCAAAATTTAATTATTAAAACCGTGTTTTGATTATCGCGATTTTAATAACTCGATAAATCCTGTCCAGCCAGCAACAGTCTGACGCAGGCGCAGCTGGCAAAGTGGCAATGATGTTTTTTTTTTTATTCGAGAAGGAATGGCGCAAGGCAGTGACCGTGCTCGGGAGATTTGTCAGCCTTTTAAGAGGACCAAATCTGAGGTGTGGTCATATTTTGGCTTTTACAAAAGTCTTGAGGGAAACTTAACCGAGGATGGTCACCCTGTCTGCCGAACATGCACATAAAAAGTCGCTGCAATAGAAACACTTCAAATCTGCCGAGTCGTCTTGTGTGACCATCACCCACTGTTATAGAGAACGCAAGGAAAGTTAACTTAGACCTCAATTCCAAAACTACGTCTGGGAAATAATTGGGCACAAAATATAGTTTTGAGATAAAATCTCTCTTTTTTTTATCTCTTTCACTTGAAATAAACGTGAAGCTTCCGCGAAGAAAAGTTCGCAGCAAGTGGCTTTGAGCCAAAAACGAATGTGAAAGTCCAAACAAGAGTATTAAGAGTGACATTTAATGTATAGTAATGTAACGTTATATTCATTATAGCCTACTCATTACCCCGATTTTTTTAACACATAATTACGGGGACATATTGAATTGAGATTAATATTTTAAATCTCACCCGTTTATAAATCCATTTTGTACAGAGTACAAAACAATCGTCCAGACAAGATGATCCCAACAATATTATCAAACTCTGCATTGAAAATGAAATAATTTGTTTGTTTACAATCAAAAACGGAGACGCAAGACGGCAAGTTATATTTGAATGAAACAAGAGAGAGCGCACTTCCGTTGTGATACATGGATGTATGCTGTGTTATAATGCGTTGCTATTGACAACGGTCATTATAAAGAAGGAAATGCCACAGAATAGAATCTTGCTTTAAAAAGTGCATAGAGCTGCTTGTTTTATTTGTTGTTTGCTGATTTTTCAAATATAAAACTTGTTGAAATGTTTTCAGTGTAAGCATCAATCTTTATTTGAACACTCTCATCTCGTTTTAACAAAACCGTGATAATATTGATAATCACGATAATTTTGGTCACTATAATCGTGATGTTAAATTTTCATACCGTCCCATCCCTAATTGATAATAATAAAGATGCTTCTTGAGCAGCAAATCAGCATATTAGATTGATTTCTGAAGGATCATGTGACACTGGATGACTGGAGTAATGATGCTGAAAATTCAGCTTTGCATCACAGGAATAAATTGCATTGTAAAATATATGAAACTAGAAGTTATTTTAGATTGTAATAATATTTCAAAACCATATTACTGTTTTTATTGTATTTTTGAACAAACAAATGCAGCCTTTATGTGCATAAGATACTTTTCAAAAACGTAGAAAGAAGTAAATGAACTTTATCTTCTAGTCATGGCTCAACAAATCAGTTGGGTCAAGGTCGGGTCGATGTGCTCCAAAAACAGAGTTACTCCCAGCATATTCTTTGCAGTGTGTTAACACTGTGTTATTTTGGTGAATGTGTCACATTCATTGCTGAAACTTTCAAATGGTCTTATCTACCCATGATAGTGTGCATTCTTATACAGACTGTATAATATCAGACATTGTAAAAGTTGTCTGCTCACTCAAAACTGTTACCCTGCAGTCATCTTTAAGAATTTCAGCTTTGAGTTACATTTTATTTGGTTAACCACTCATAGTGAGCGCAACACTGGCTTCAAACATTTATATAGAGGTCAAAGTCCTCCACAGTGGTTTTGTAACATTTTCAAGCTTGTTTTAGCGCCTACAACTAAAGAAGTCTTTCTCAAATAGGGTAAAATTCCTTTCTTAAACCACTTTGATGAAGGACATGCAGAACTCTGAAACAGACCTCTGTTTGCTGCAGTTTTTCTGAAACAAAGTAAGTACCTGCATGTTTGTTTGTTCCTGATACCCTGTGTCATTTGGGTTTGTGTATGTTCTACAGGATGTCTTAAATGGTGAGGAGGGTCTTAGCGAGGAAGAGAAGGCCAGACGGAAAGCAGAGAGGCGCAAAGCCAAGAGGAAGGTGAGAGGAGATAAACTTTGCCACACTAAGTATAAGAATGATTCACCTTTAACATAGTTTACTGTCAGGGCAGATCTATTATGCATCGTTTTTTAAAATTTGTTCTTATTGTGAACGGAGCCATAAATAAGATGGATTTTATTGCATGCATTGTGTTGCTGGCTAAAAGAAAAATAAAGATTTATTTTTCTTTTTAGCGTCAACGGCAGCGGAAGAAACTAGAACGGGTTAAAAAGGATGAAAGTACTGAACAGGTAAATTGAAACTAGTTTAATGGTTAGGATGGTGTGAGAGGGCTTTGACACAGGATGTGTTCCTTCTGCACTGTTTTTTAAAACATTTCTGCAGATCAGTGCATCTCATCTTTTCCTCCCTTTCAACCACGGTTATTGAGTATTAAAAAAAAAAAGCATGTTAAAAGTAGTTATGTTTTTATTATGCAGTACATTACTATCAGTTTTAAAACAATGGACCAATCAGAATTAACAGGGGGTGAGACGGTAATTTCCTTATAAACTAATTATGTTACACACACAGGTTTTTTTTTATTAAATGTCTGATTCTCACCAAGTCTGCATCAAAAATACAGTAAAATAATATTGCCATTTAAAATATCTCTTTAATATTTTAAGATTTTACGATGTAATTTATTCCTGTGATTATAAAGCTGAATTTTCAGTTTCAAATGATCCTTCAGAAATCTTTCTAATATGCTGATTTGGTCCTCAAGACGAATTTCTTATCATCAATGTTGTGCTGCTTAACATTTTAGTGGAAACTGATACTTTTTTTTTCAAGATTCTTAAATATTATTGACCCCAAACTATTTAAAATGCATACAAATTGTACTGAACTTTAGCCGTTGGCTGAAACAGGATATTTTAGAAGGCCAGACATTTGCATGACACTGATGCCTTTTAATGCAGCTTACTAGTTCTATAACAGAGGCACTTTGTCTATTCGGTCATTTTTGTAACTTGAATATACTGTGCATTTTAGCTAGCGCAATCGTAGGTAAGACACAAAGACAATTGAATAAGATATATTTATTGAAAGTTAAAGAAAAGGCATGGGTTATTATAGAGGATTCCTCTCATCCCTTACACTCTAGCTTTCAGTTGCTTCCATCGAGGAGAAGGTTTAGACAACCTAGGGCGAGTAAAAATGTGTACCAGATGTCATTTGTGCCAACTGCTATTCGAATTTTAAATGCTGAGAAGATATGAATATGAGTAGGGGTGGATATGTAAGCTATGTATAGCTGCATGGGAATGTTACTGTTTTTATTTTATGTATATTTTTATGTTTGTGATGTCCTTGTGTGTGGTGTATAGTGAAGCCAAAGACAAATTTCCACTTGTGGACAATAAAGGAACTAAACTAAAACTAAACTGCATTTTACACACTTTTATAAATGTGATGTGATATTTCTTTTCTTTCAGGAGGAGGATGAGAACGCTGGAGCTGATTCTGACCTCGACGAGTCTGAGGAGTCTGAGCCAGAGGAGGTGGAAGATATTGGCCTTTCAAAGGTGGAAGAGAAGCCAGTCGCTCCTCCAAGTAAAAGTCTTTCTGAACCTCTGCTGGCTTCAGGGAACAAAAGCAACCGGCAGCCGCCGGCCCGTTCTAGTGAGGAGGTATGAAAATGGAGACAACCATACTGCCATAGCTGATGGACTTCCAGAGTTTGCTGTTTGAACGTTTTATTGTTTAAATTGCTGACTTTGCCACTGTTTCCTCATGTTCAGGACCCAGGGTGGGATGTGAACAGTGCTTTTGTTGCCAATGCTGTCAATCACATTCGACCCAAAGCTAAAAGTAAAGGAGCTCACAAGTCGAAAGAGAACAAGGAAAATGAGAGCAGGACTGGAGAAGTGAGTTTAAGTGTATATTCAGTGTCCTGTGTTTTGTTGGCATCTGCGGGGCTGAACATGCTCTTGTGTCGTAAAGGTGGGACCCGCTGAACCTGGGCGTTGGGATTATTGGGTATTAATGTAGTTTACAAATCTGTCACTGTGGACTTACACTCACCGGCCACTTTATTAGGTACACCTGTCCAACTGCTCGTTAACACTTAATTTCTAAGCAGCCAATCACATGGCGGCAACTCAGTGGATTTAGGCATGTAGACATGGTCAAGACAATCTCCTGCAGTTCAAACCGAGCATCAGTATGGGGAAGAAAGTTGATTTGAGTGACTTTGAACGTGGCATGATTGTTGGTGCCAGAAGGGCTGGTCTGAGTATTTCAGAAACTGCTAATCTACTGGGATTTTCACGCACAACCATCTCTAGGGTTTACAGAGAATGGTCCGAAAAAGAAAAAACATCCAGTGAGCGGCAGTTCTGTGGGCGGAAATGCCTTGTTGATGCCAGAGGTCAGAGGAGAATGGCCAGACTGGTTCGAGCTGATAGAAGGGCAACAGTGACTGAAATAACCACTCGTTACAACCGAGGTATGCAGCAAAGCATTTGTGAAGCCACAACACGCACAACCTTGAGGCGGATGGGCTACAACAGCAGAAGACTCCACCGGGTACCACTCATCTCCACTACAAATAGGAAAAAGAGGCTACAATTTGCAAGAGCTCACCAAAATTGAACAGTTGAAGACTGGAAAAATGTTGCCTGGTCTGATGAGTCTCGATTTCTGTTGAGACATTCAGATGTTAGAGTCAGAATTTGGCGTAAACAGAATGAGAACATGGAACCATCATGCCTTGTTACCACTGTGCAGGCTGGTGGTGGTGGTGTAATGGTGTGGGGGATGTTTTCCTGGCACACTTTAGGCCCCTTAGTGCCAATTGGGCATCGTTTAAATGCCACGGCCTACCTGAGCATTGTTTCTGACCATGTCCATCCCTTTATGGCCACCATGTACTCATCCTCTGATGGCTACTTCCACCATGTCACAAAGCTCTAATCATTTCAAATTGATTTCTTGAACATGACAATGAGTTCACTGTACTAAAATGGCCTCCACAGTCACCAGATCTCAACCCAATAGAGCATCTTTGGGATGTGGTGGAACGGGAGATTCGCATCATGGATGTGCAGCCGACAAATCTGCGGCAACTGTGTGATGCCATCATGTCAATATGGACCAAACTCCCTGAGGAATGCTTCCAGCACCTTGTTGAATCTATGCCACGAAGAATTGAGGCAGTTCTGAAGGCAAAAGGGGGTCCAACCCGTTACTAGCATGGGGTACCTAATAAAGTGGCCGGTGAGTGTATATCACAGCTTTTATTCTTTCAGCTGGTAGAGCTGCCACTGTTGTGACAGATTGCATGTTTCACCACACTGTGCGTCTACCCAGCAAGCCCAGTTCATATTATGCTGGATTCACACTGCTCGATTTTCACACGCTACAATACAGTCTAGTGTCTGTTTAGTTTCTGCTGTGTGCACATTACACGACGGATCGGCGACAGGGGGTCACACAATACACATTTCAATAGGAAGAATCGCCGACAACTCTGTCTGGTCTACAAACTACGTTTCATAACCACACACAAACGAGAATTGGAAATAGCATTAAATCACGTGTGGGATGGGTTGGATTGTGCGAGACTGGATTTCTTCTTGTTGAAATGATTAGAAAAAAAGAAGAATATGAATATGAGAGTGGTTGCTTGCAGAAGCCATGCTTGTAATGTTCTGTTGCAGGTCTACGACTCTTCCCTGTGAACTTTCCCTTGCCCTGTATCTTGCTCTCTCATTGGCTGTAGGTCATCACAGATTTAATTTCCAATCAAAACACATTTCACACTTCATGACTGAGTCGCAGAGACGGGTCCAGATATTTAGCAGGCTAAATATTTCAGATATTTCAGTTTTCTTTGATCATACACTACGGAATTTTCACTCAAATGAACAAGCCCCGGTTGCCTCCGATTTTGCACATTTGTTTATTTCCACAAAACTGTCGCTAAAATGGGGGCTACAATCGTGCAGTCTCTACTCGGTATCAGTTTGATTTATTGCAGTGTCTCATTTCTTTCAGTTGCGTTGTGCTCTTAAGACATTGAAGACATTGTTGAAAATAACCCGTAATTAATATATTATCCTTGTATATTATTGTAATATATCATTAACCTGCAATTAATATATTGTACTTTTTTTTAGCAGGTCATTGGCTTATCAGATGCTAAAACTAAAAGAAGTGCCTTACTAGTAGGTGTGTAATTCTTTTCTTTCTCACACACACAAAAAAAAAAAAACATTACTCGTCAGATTAGAGAAAGGAGGTATGTCCAGTATGTGAATAATTTTTGTGTAGTTCAGCCCAAAATTAAAATGGTCATTATTTGCTTACTGTTATTTTGTTTCAAACTTCTATGGTTTCTTTCTTCCATGGAGCATAGAACGTGAAACTTTGAAAAAGTCCTGGACAATCTTTGGAAAACGAATTAAATTTCATCAATTGGCTTCAGAAGACTTTTGCATTCTCCTGAAAATCTTTGGGTTTCCTCGCACAACCTTGGCGTTCTCCCGAGAAACTTTGGGTTTCTACGCAAAACCTTTGCTTTCTCCTGAGAAACTTTGGGTTTCCACGCAAAACCTTTGCTTCCTACTGAGAAACTTTGGGTTTCCTCTCAAAACCTTTGCATTCTCCCGAGAAACTTTGGGTTTCCTCGCAAAACCTTTGCGTTCTCCTGAGACACTTTGGGTTTCCTCGCAAACCCTTTGCATTCTCCCGAGAAACTTTGGGTTTCTTTGCAAAACCTTTGCGTTCTCCCGAGAAACTTTGGGTTTCTTTGCAAAACCTTTGCGTTCTCCTGAGAAACTTTGGGTTTCCTTGCAAACCTTTGCGTTCGCCTGAGAAACCCTTTGCGTTCTCCTGAGAAACTTTGGGTTTCTTTGCAAAACCTTTGCCTTCTCCCGAGAATCTTTGGGTTTCTTTGCAAAACCTTTGCGTTCTCCTGAGAAACTTTGGGTTTCCTTGCAAACCTTTGTGTTCGCCTGAGAAACCCTTGTGTTCGCCTGAGAAACCCTTGTGTTCGCCTGAGAAACCCTTTGCGTTCTCTCGAGAAACTTTGGGTTTCCTCGCAAAACCTTTGTGTTCTCCCAAGAAACATGGCGTTTGTTCGCCAATCCTTTGCAGCCCCTCACAAAACCTTTGCGTTCCCCCGAGAAACTTTGCATTTCTCTTTGCGTTTCTCAGAAAGTCTCACAAAGTTTTCTTGGGGAACAACTTTTGCAAGGAAATTCAAAGTTTCTCTGGTAAACGCAAATCATTTGCGAGACAACACAAAAGCATTGCAATATGTTTTCCTCCCATCTCTTCACCATGTCCCTTTAGGGGCTCCTTACTTCAGACCTTGACAGCCCCAGTCCACATTCACTTTCAATATATGAAAAATATATTCTAGGATGATCTTCTGAAATAAATACATTGTGTTCCATGGAAGAAAGTTAGTTACATTCAGTACATGTTTGGAATGACATGAGATTGAGTTAATGACCTAATTTTAGTTTTTAGGGGAACTGTGTATTCACTCTTTGAGTTTCACAAATTAATCATTTTTAAACATTTGTGCTTTTATTCTTTACTAGGGGTGTAACGATACACAAACCTGATGGTTCGGTTCGTTCCACGGTTTTGAGGTCTCGGTTCGGTTCGGTTCATTTCGGTGGGGTGGGGGGGGGGGGGGGGTTAGAAATCTAAAATTGCTTTTATTTTTTATTAAACAGTGCTTTAATGAACAAATTGTGTCCTTGTCTTTAAATTAATTCAATTACAAGTAAACATTTCTCAAGGATAACAAAATTATCTGCTAATGCTGTAAACTACAGCCCTTACTTGCACATTACTATAACATTAAAGCTTAACAACAGAGCCTAGACTTTTAGCCTAAATGATATAATAATAATCAACACTCAAATAACAAATTGTATGAAAACATGTAAACTGCACATAAGGCAATTTTTGCATTAACATGTTTTTACTCTAATTTGTTATTGTTATAATAATTTACACAGTTGCTGTTATTTTCATGACAACTATTTTAAACATACATTAAATAATCAAGATATCATAAACAGGTTAAGTAAAATATAATATATAGGCTAATATATAGCATTTATTTAGTGAAAGAGTTAGCAAACCAGCAAGCTGTGGACACTGAATGACTTGCCTGAGGTAAATATAAAGCTATGTGAAAAACTAAGCGTTTTATTGACGTATTTCCGCTGTTGAAACACTGATTGAGTGTTTACACGAGTTATGATGCCTTTCAGTAAATATACTGTATCTTTCAACATACCTTCGGGTGTCCATTCATGTTTATTCTGTAACTGAGGAAGAGATGATCGCGCTCCGCGCTGCCGCATGCATACAGTGATATCTGTTACGCCACATCTAAGAGCGCCAAAACGGCATTTATTGTTTGCGTTTCGTGATCAAATAGACATAATTTGAAAGATTACACCTTGCTTATTATCAAAAGTAACAAAACACTGAGCTTTTTGGGATTATATGTGGTTAATGGTGGTTAGGCAATAGCCCTGTATTCGTTGTGTACACATAACACATGAGGTGCAATGAGCCGGGGCTGGGCGGGGCAGCAGGGGCGGGGCGTGTTCGGTTCGCCATGAGAGTATCGCGATACGTATCGTGGGTGGTGTATCGCGGTTTTTCGGTTCGGTTCAAATATCGTTACACCCCTATTCTTTACTAATGCAGTCTCCTCCATATAAGTCTGTCTTTCTTTTCACTCCAGAAAAAGGGATTCGATTCGTTCAGGAGGGCCAGTACACAGAAGCTGTTAGTCTGTTTACAGAGGCCATCAAATGTGACCCAAAAGATTACAGGTGAGACTTTGATTTGACTGAAACCATATCACATTTATTTTCATTTTTGTTGTTTTCATGAATTCACTCTTTCATGATATTTTGATCACAGGTTTTTTGGGAATCGCTCCTACTGCTACTGTTGTCTGGAGCAGTACCCTCTGGCCCTCGCAGATGCTGAGAAGTCCATCCAGATGGCTCCTGATTGGCCCAAAGGCTATTACCGTAGGGGAAGTGCACTTATGGGGCTTAAGGTGCGACCCATTGGCATATTTGTTTTTTTCTCCCTGTATATGGAGTGAATCGGCATTTAGGTGAGTATCAATAACTTTGCATGTGGGTTTGTTTGTAATAGAGGTACAGTGAAGCTGAGAAAGCCATGGAACAGGTGCTAAAACTAGATCGAGATTGTGAAGAAGCCGTCAATGACCTCTTGTACTCTAAAGTGCAACAACTTACGGTAAGGACTGGATCTCTTATTCTATCTCAATTGACCGTTCGCAGGCCCCTCCCACAAAATGGCCATTGTCCAATCACACATCATAGCAACCGTTACTATGTGAGCAGGTCCGTCAAACATTGACTCCAAGCAAGATGGTGAAGCGGTCTGCCTACGGCGTTTGCAAATCGGACACTAGGTACCCCGAGAGATTGTCTGGAGGAGTTGTGTTCTTTCCGTTTCCAAAGCCGAAAACACAACGTGAGCGGTGCCTACAATGGATAAAACAGTGTGGACGGCCCCACTCCCAGTTAAATGTGTCGAACATGGTTAACTCGCGTACAGTATGCGTGAGACTGAGACACTGAGATTAGTCAAAGAAACATGGAGAAAACAGATCAAGAGGATCCACAAAGGAATTACGTTTTCTAAAGGGTTGTTGTTAACATGATATTATTGGCGGAAAATGAGCAGCAGTCAATTAGCAGTGCAGCACCATAGACTACAGTTTAGACTAACGTTAGAGGAGTGCACGCTCGCAACGGGGAAAGCATGAAGCTTACTTGACAACATCAGTTCATATATCAATATCGTAACGAATAGAAATAACCTTAAATAATGTATGGTTATCTGCATCTTTCCGTCTCTTATGTATGGTTACTTTTTAAACACGAAAATCGCATTCAGCTTGACACGCGAGCGGTTGCCGTGGTAATGAACAACCTGCTTGTTAAAGCGAATGTATCGGAGGCAAAATTATTAAATATGCAGCGCGAGTTATATATTTCTAACTCCAAACATTAGCCACTGAACCAGCTTATAAAATCTTTTTCAAGGCTGTGCTGGTTGCATTTGAGGTACAGGTCATGGGGTTTCTCAGATTTAGCTTGAGACCGGTAAGCATTCGCCTCGATAGTAGTCGTGTCTCCTTCATTGCGTATTTTTATATTTTGAATATATCCCTCCACTGCATACTGTAACCCCTTTTGCCTCGATCTGGAGGATATCGCTGAGGTATTGCTCCAAAAAAGGTCACTGACACGCACAGGTATACCTCTTCCCGTCATGGCAATCTGTCGTGTGTTTGACCATTTGTTTGACGGGCGTAGTAACAATAACTAGGGGGTGTGGCTTTTGCGAATGGTCAATTGGTATACAATTGAACTATTAGTAAAGTTTTTGGATCGATTCCCATGGAACACTACCAAACGTACTGATAAAATGTGTATTTTGAATGCACAAAGTTGAAGATCATTGTCATGAGAAAGCACATAAAAGGGCAAGATGATTAGTTCTAAATCATTTACTTATTTCTGTTGTTTCTTTTTTTTAAAGTGGAACACAAATGGAAAAAATTAGCCTGTCAGTATGACTAATCCAAATGTAATTTTTAGAGCTGCGTAACTTTGGTTGGAATAAAAAACAACTTTTGTTCCATGGAAGAAAATTAGTCAAACAGGTTTTGAATAACAACAGGATGAGTAAATCATTTTCATTTTTGAGGGAATTATTCTGTTTAGAATGGGGTTAGCTTTAAAAATACTACTAAATAAAGCAATCTAGGAATAATGCATAAGAAACGAATATCATTTCAGGCTTTTTCTTTCCTTCTTATTAGGATCTTGGATATGATGAGGAGCAAAGTATTCAGTTGCTGGAAAAATACAATACAGTGCAGGCTGTTGTTGCAGCGAAGGGTAAGAGCTCCTTGTCTTCCTGTCTGATTTTTTTCATTGAAATGAACCACTTGAGGGTGCTATTGCTACAAGCCAATTTAGTTTAAAAATAATGGGCCATGAATGACCAGAATTCACAGTACAAGTCATTTTATCACACGCAGTACTATAGAAACGGTTCTATTATATTACAATTTAAAATGTTTTCTGTTTTAATATATTTTAAAAGGTAATTTATTTCTGTGATGGCAATGTTGAATTTTCAGCATCATTACTTCAGCTACTTTATCATTGCATTACTACATCATTAAAAACATTTCTTATTATTAATGTTAAATAGTTGTGGAAACCATGATGTATTTTTTCCAGGGTTCTTTGATTAATCAATTGTTCAAAAGAAAAACATTACTTTGAAATGGAAATATTTTTTAATATTATAAAAGTCTTTAGTTTTGATCAATTCAATGTGTCCTTGCTAAATCAAAGTATTAATTTCATTTAACAAAAACTTTGAATGGTAGTGTATATTATGTTTTATACAGTACTGTGTGTATACAGTAGTATATTGAGAGTGAGGAGTCACATGCCGATTTGGGCGGGGTCTGAGCCGGTCGGCCATGATGGTAGGAGACGCTATCGGTTGCCAGGGGCAACGCCTTCAGAACTTCACAGAGGCGCGACTAAACATTCCAGAAATAGCGAAAGAGAGACAGCGCAGCTTAGTATTTGTTTACATTTTAGTGATACACCGCAGTTTCTTTGGAAGATATGGAGAAGAAAGAGAAATGAAAGGGGTTCTATCGGTAGAGACTAAATAACAACGCTAGCCAGCTTAGAGAAACTGCTTGTCAATAAACTGACAGCAGCAACAGCGAGCAAAGCATGATTTCAAAAGCAACACATTTCAGCACAGTTCGCCTTCTATTTAACACAAACAAACTAAATTAATACTCTGTTATTCAACTAGAGTTGTTTAATTTGTTATAGATATATCTGTACCGTGAAATGTTTTAAAAAAGACACTTTTTTTAATGACGTACGACTCGCTTTTGACGGGAATGTCCGATCTGTCCACTTAACGTTGCACGACAGGTGCAAATGCACGTATCTGATTCATATCAGATTTATTTCCACATATGAATGAGGCCTGAAACATCAAGTATGTCTGAACTTTTGCAGTTTAACGGTAACCTTACATGTTTGGGGGTTTCTAAGTCTTCCACCCAGCCGCAGAAGAATTGTTCATAAGCTTCTAATGACTTGAAGCTTCTGAACTCTTGCATTGTGCAGGCAGTAACGTTAGGCACTGATACCATAAACCAGGTAATTGACTATGTCAGGGTATGTGAAAGGTGGCAGTGCTTTGGGTCTTTCGTCCATTCTGTAGCAGGTCGTAAGTCAAGTACCGGTAGTTTCTCTAAATAACGTTGCTTGGTGTTATTTTGTCTCTCCCGATAGAGCCCCTTTCCTTTTGCTTCCCCCTTCTTCATTTATTCCCAAGAAACTGTGCCTTATCGCAAAAATGCAAACAAATATCAAGCTGCTCTCTCTCTCTGTCGCTATTTCTCTCGGTCTCACTATCGAAGTAACCATGACAACGGATAGCGTATCCTTCCAAGATGGTGACGCGTTCCCACAATGCAACGCGGAGTGGAACGCGTGACGTCACATTCTCATTCTCAATTCAAGTTATTGAGCCTGTAAATAATAATAAAAAAATCTTTACAAATAAAAGCTACTTTATCTAATTTATTTTCTCTTTATTTCAAAGCCAAAAGATAATTATTCATAACAAATGATGAATTAGTCTGGTTTTAATGCAAAAGAAGCTTAACTTTGTGCAACTTGAATACAACTAAAATGTTCAAATCAATTGTTTTATAAATCAGTTAGTCGTCTATATTATTGAGCAAGTTGCCATGTTGCTCTGCCAAGTTAAACAACTAAACTTTGCTTCACATTATACATTATAACACCCCTCTGATAACTCAGCAGTTAAACAGTTAATTTATCATGGCTAATTTGTCATGTTGTAATAAAAAAATCTATATTTTACAGCTTCAAATCAGGACTGTGCTCTCCTCCTGCCGGGGTAAGCTGATTGCAGTATTTATTTTCATATATATTTTTTAATGTTTTTCATTCCCTCTAATCCTATCTCCATATTACTCTTTGTCTTTCTCTCACTTGCCTCCACAAGTCCTTGTAATTCCCTGTGGGTGGGCAACGTGACCACAGAACTGACAGAGAAACATCTGCGGGACCTGTTCAAATCGTGAGATCTGATGCTTTTGCAATTTTTTAGTTCTAAAATGATTTCCCATGAATTTGTTTTTAATTTTTGATGGTGATGTTTGCCAGTTACGGAGAAATTGACAGCATTCGGGTTCTGCATGAACGTTTCTGTGCATTTGTTAACTTTAAGAATGCCAACATGGCCTCCCGTGCAATGGAGAACCTCACATGTGAGTGAAACGCTTATAATTCATTATTGTTTGTTGTTGTTAGTATTATATTGTTTGTAGTTGTAGTAAAGACATTTTTGATCCTGAATTTGTTTAAAATACTATTTCAGATAATAATAATAGTAAATAAAATTGTAAACAAGCCTTTTTTTTAGCTATATTTTATAAAATGTTTGTATTATTATTATTTTAATCAAGCCATTTTTGAGCCATATGTATTGTTTATTTACTTGAATGCGAATCCTTTTGTAAAACAGGGACATTTTATTGAGAATACCCGGCTAGTGGTTAGATATCCAGATCGACGGATTCAGAAAGTCCTCCCGACACCTGCCATTCAACAACCTGCAGGGGCTGCTGGGTAATTCAGTCTCTATGCTATTAAAGGGATAGTTCACCCAAAAATGAAAATTCTGTCATCATTTATTCACCCTCATGTTGTTGCAAACCTGTACGAGTTTCTTTCTTCTGCTGAACACAAAAGAAGATATTTTGAAGAATGTGTAACCAAACAATTGATCGTCCCTTTTGACTTCAATAGTTTTTTTTTTCTCCATACTATGGAAATCAATGGGGCCCAATAGCTGTTTGGTTACACACATTCTTCAAAATATATTTTTGTGTGTGTGTACAGCAGAATAAAGAAATTCATACAGGTTTGTAACAACTTGAGGGTGAGAAAATGACAATTTTCATTTGTTGGTGAACTATCCATTCAATGAGAAAAAGAATTGAGGTTTCAATTGTTTTAATGTATTTTGATGGTTATTTTCTTCTTCAAGAAGATTTGAAAGAAATGTCCACACCAATCTGTACTACTTCCAGGCCAAGACGCAGAGGTCCTGTCAACGGAGATGAGTGTTACTTCTGGAGGACCACCGGCTGTCATTTTGGAGATAGGTGTCGCTACAAGCACATTCCCGATCATCGAGGCAAAGACTGGCAACCTTGAGTCAACACTAGCCTCTCTTCCTCTCCCTATGAACTCTGGGAGTTGACTGCATGACTGTAGGGACTCTAATCTTCACTTTGATTATCTGTAGGTCAGGACCAGTATTGTGGATCAGCATCTTACGAACGCTCTCTTGAGGCCAGAGTGCTTTGAACCTCGCGGGGTTTCAAAGCAGACGGGACTATGGGAAAAGTGTCTCTTTCGAGGTGAGGTTTGGGTGGTGCAGAGTGCCAGAGATCCGCTGCACCGCATCACCGTCTGCCGAGGTTTCTCTTCTCTCTTCCTGTGCCAACACCACCAACCCCAAAGAAGAGCTGTAGATCTGGTCTGACATTTTGAGTTCATCCTGAGAGAATGACTGTCACACTGCATTTGAGGTCACAAACCCTCAAAATGAGGAGAATCGTACCAAAGAATAATACTATGCCATATGTGGATTTAACGTTGAGAGAGAGAAGGGCATTCAGGGGAAATTAGTTTTGCGTGTGTGTGTTTGTATTTGATTCCACCACCTCAAACACACTCCAGCTGTTCATTCATCATGTTTGTAGTCATTTCTAATCGGACTAAATATGTTTTCCCGGCCCTAAATTCAAGACCTGTGAGGGCATATCAGTATTGCAGAGGGTTAGAGCAATTGTTTGAATCTTTCACAAACTCATAAGTTATTTTCAGTTCTCCTTTTTGTTTTTCTTGCACTTTACTATGGTGGATGTTGTCTCCCCTCCCCAAGAGTAGATGTTTGATGAGTAGAGTCAGTCATGTTGCTAAAAAAGTATTGATGATTCGTGGTATTTTCTTATGGCGTGTCATTGTCATATAGATATTGTTTACATTTATCTATAAATATGAACATGGTTTTACATTCATGTGATCACAAACGCAGGTCTCAGTTGTAGATTGTGTCATGCTGCTCCACGCAATGCAGAAAATCTTGTGGTTTTCTGTGTATATTATGCAAGAGCTCTGAGACACAGGAAACTCTTGCCTCGGATTCGGCACTTTTCATGCCGTCAGCTCAAAGTTGATCGGGCAGTTTTCATCATTTCCTCTTTTCTTTAACGTTCTTGCTCTTGGTTCAGTGGAAGAGAAGGAAGTTGGCTATTTGAGACGGTTCGTCATATCTTCCACCTCGTGACATTTTCTTGTAGAACAGCCTGCACATTTTTGTTTATATTATTATTAGTATGATAATGATTTCATCAAGCAATATTCTCGTTGCAATGCATTTGAAAACTCGTATGACCTCGTTGTGCTGTTCTGACACACTTAACCAAAGAAACACTAATGTTTACCTAGTGTACCCCAGACAAACACATCTGCTACTTTTGTACATTACACTATTTAGGACTTTTTCCTCAGTTTTAAGTTGAGACTGCATAGGCTTTTATGCAGTCTATAGTCACACTAGTGCTGTATTGGGCTTTAAACGTCATTACTTTTGGTACCTTGACAGTCCAGAGTGCCTTAAAAGCATTTGCTTTCTTATCAGACGGGTTATTTTAGCATTAATATTTAAGCTGAGGTCCCCCATGAACAAAAATGTTTTTATTTTTATTTTAGGTTGTGAAATAGGGGACAAACTGAATAATGGCAAAGTTACGTGTGTCTGTCACATGTTGATTTGGGATTGAAGATTACAGCTGTGCTTTTCATTATTCTTGTTTTTAGTTTTTTCTTTTAATACCTTGTTCAAATAAATTTGTCTGACAGTGACAATTCCTCATTTTTGTGCTGCTCAAAGAGCAGTTAATAACTCAGTCATGCGTTAAAGGACATTTATCACTCAAATAGAGGATTTTCTAAGTCATTTTGCTTGATCTTTATGAGTTTTGCTGATCTCCACATAATGAAACTGAAGGTCACATTCTCCATTTTCTCTCTCTTCGTTCCTATTTTTAAATCACATTCATGCTCCATATTCTAATCATGTTTTCTTTTTACCCCTATTTAGCACGGCAATGGAAAGAAAGTCATTGTAATAAATGTATTGAAAGTTGATTTTCTTCATCCTCTTTTTTTTTTTTTTTTGGGTGCAATTCAATGAGTTTGTAGCTTGCTCCACAGTACAGTAGCATGTGGAAAGAAATGCCATGTTCATGTTTAATGCAGCAATTGCTGTCCAGTTGTCATGGACATGCAGTACAGTTTAACTTGTGGCAGTCTGAAGCTTCACAGTATGCCTTGTTTTATGCTACATCTGTTTGGCCACTGGGATTCCCTGCAGAATTGTATTGTAACTTTTACAATAAGCATCATATAATTAACATGAGCTAGCAATGAACAATAACTATACATCACTTATCACTCTTAATGTTAAAAGTACACTTTTACTTGTGGGTCTCTAGCGGTTAAAAAAACAAAACTCAGTGCATTTTGCAGAAGAACATTGTTTTGGTTGTGCTTCGGCTCAGTGTGACTGGGCAGATAAATATGGTTCACGGCACCTGTGAAAACATTGAAAACCAAACATTCATATTAGCATAAGTGCAATGTTTTATGCTGTTGTTTCGACCAATTGGAAACACTGATATTAAAGGGTTAGGTCACCCAAAAATGAAAATGATCCCGTAATTTACTCACCCTCAAGCAATCCTACTGTAGGTGTGTATGACTTTCTTTTTTCAGCCAAACACAATCGGTTGTAGGCTATTAAAAAAATATATCCTGGCTCTTCCAAGCTTTATAATGGGAGTGACATTACTAAAGTTGATTATCCTACAGCTCATAAAACATTCACTATTAGGCTTAAGACATATAACTGGTTTAGAAAGGATAGCTGAAGACTTACTGTAGATATACCTCTTATTAAAATTAACCATGGTTTCACTACAAATAAACCCAAAGAAACATGTTATTGTATTTAACCCTGGTATTTGGAGTAAAAATGTGTAGGTATACAGATCTATCCACCAAAAAAACATGATTATTACCCTTTTACTATAAACCATGGTTAATTTTCACTTAAAAGTTGTATCTGTTAACATTGTTTGTTAGTTTACAGTGCATTAACTAATGAACAAAGATTAATTAATGCTGTAAAAAAAATATGGACTAGCCTACTGTTCAAATGTTTTGGAGTCTGTTAGATTATTCAACAAGGATGCATTAAATTGATCACAAGTTACAAAAAAAACATGCAAAGATTTTAGATTTCAAATAAATTGTTCTTTGTAGAATGCTGGAAAAAAAATGTCATGTGAAACATTTCTTCTTATTATTTATGACTCTTACGAGCACCAAAACACCAAATAGGATGATTTCTGAATGATGATTCATGTGACACTGGAGTAAATGGCTGCTGAAATTGTAGCCATGTCATCACTGGAATAAATTACATTTTAAAATATATATTTACAACTATTTTAAATTGTATAATATCTCACAGTATTGCAGTTTTACTATATTTTTTGGTCAAATGAATGCAGCCTTTGTGAGCTTCAGAGACTTCCCAAAATCTTACCAACGTCAAACTTTTGAACGGTAGTCGGTATAAATGCAGGGTCCTCTTCCACCTTTGAATAATAACTCCAAAATCAAGTGTATATATCAGTTGACACTAGGGGGAGTTCTTGTGCAGGATTCACGATACATTTTAAGAACACTAAAAAAAAAATAACCTCCAATATCCAACATAAATCTTGATATAATGTGACTGAATATCTGTAAATATCTATTATCTCAAGAGCGTCAGACTATAAATATCCGAAATAACTGTAGCATCACAAAAGGCTTTTCTTTCATCAGCAGAACTTGAAAGTGACCTGTGGTTTGTGTGATCACAGGCGTTCCATATGAGCACATTGCAAATGAGAACCATAGAATCAGGGAAAATTCTACTGTGTCAAAAAAAAAAAAAAAAAAAAAAAGATTTATGCGACCTACAGCATATAACCATACCACCAGCCTGCAGTTGTGGCCTGGAGCCAGTGGTTTGTGGTCTGTATGTATTGTTTATGAAAGTCTTCTGATAATACAGTTGTTGGTTAGAGGCCTCCGTGACCCAAGCATTACGTGTAAAGCATCTAATCTGTTAATCAGTTGCATTGAGCAACAACCTCAATGAATAGCCA